CGATGAAGAAATCGTTCTCAGCGCGATAGTTTTTCGCGCTGGGGTCAAGGTGATGGATCCTTGACGAATCGAACAACCGTGTTCGATAACGATCACTCGTCGTCGCCGACAAGCGATCCATGACGGATTTTGGAGGCATCCATGCCTTCTTCTCAGGAGCGAGACGCAACACATTGCGGTCCCGCTCTTCCTGCAACGTGCCGACAGAAGTACTGTCACCTCGCTGTGAAGTGGAGTCAATAGGAGAACCGACACCACTATTAGCGCCCGAGTCTCGCGACCTCGAGCGCCTTCGCTTCGGCGATGGTTCATCTGATTCATCAGATGAACCAAAGATGCTGCGACGCAAAGCATCGTCCATGCCACGCTTGGCAGGCGGCTTAGATGCAATCGCCGTCGATACGGATCCGTCATCCGTATCAGGAGAGTACGAGACACCGAGCTCGTACTCTGTGAAGACACGAGTGTCTTCATGACCAGCGCCTGCATCACCAAGTGACACAGGCTGGGTCGCTTCAGCAACCGATGAGACATCAGTTGCTGTTGTTTCTGCTTCGGCGTCCGCACAGAGACGTGCGGACGCGCTCTCGGCGGCCTTGCTCGCACATTGCATGGGCTTGTTAACCATGCGATGAAATGTTGGAAAGTGGACTCGGACCAACAAGTGCAAACCCTGTCCCAAATGATTTGGGACGAGTATCCATTTAGTCAATCAGTCACTAAAGTGACTGATGGATAAGGGGGGGTGATGTAACGGGGTGAATCGTTACATAACAATTTATAAGAAATTGTTAATAGAATATAACTATAAGAGTTATATTCTCAGAATATCGTCATAAGTACAAATATTCTGTAGCACTTACGAGTAGTTCCTAATTGGTTGATATAGGCCATTATATCAACCAACGAAGACGCGCCACGACAGACGCACGCAATGAGTGGTGAGCAGATAATTGATTTACACATTTGTATTTAGACATAGTTAGATGAAGATAAATAGTGATTTATTGCAGACATTAACTATTATAAATACAGTTCTACTTTTTACTTTAACCAAGTACTCGCTTCTTCTTACCGTCTTCCTCTGCACGTACGAGTGTACGTGAAGTTACGAGGCACAGCCTTATTCTGTCATCAGAATAAGTAGCTTGTACTGTCACCAGTACAAGCTTCAGGGTGCCCCGTTACAGATATCGTTTGCACGAGGATTCTGAGCCTCGGCACACGCTAGCGTAAAAGTCGGGCGCTGCATCCAGTAGAACGACTGGATGCAGCAGGCTTCGAGCGCTCCAAACTTTTGTAATGGTAGACGCGCAGATTCCAGCAAGAGACAAAATGCAATTTGGCTGTCAAGAGCAGTGAAGTGTTACTATCGCCAAGCGAGGCGACTCAAACGCAATCTTGATTCACAAAGTGCCTTAAGGGTGGTGAAATATCCATCGCAGAATCCCCACAAGGGGTTGCATCGTTGCGCTCAGCATTTCAATGGACTCTTCAGGGAGCCAAAATAGTTGCCGATGTGTATTGGGATTGACGCTAACGACAGTGAAGCTGTAGCGGAGCTACCACAGCTCTAATATCAGAGGAAGACTTTACGGGTTAAGCCAGAGGCTTACGGCTAACAGCCAATTAGTTCTAAGGAGCTAATCAAGTTTAGTAGTTGGCTAGTTCTACGGAACTTAGCGCGGACTCTGTAGACTATTAGCTCAAACTACTGTAGTTCTGCGGAACTACACGCACATTGTGCAAAGGAGGTACTGGAGTCTAAGGACCCTCTAACCCACACTTCTGAGGAACAGTCGAGCGCAACATGCGATGGGGGGGTCTACGGACTTCTGCTCAAAATGAAAACAATAATTTCAGATTTTAAATCTCGGAAAATCCTACTTTAACTATCCTATATTAGACCAAACTTGAACTGATACAAATATAAGTATTCGAACTGAACGGATGGCAGACATCAAATGATGACGGTGCAAAGTACTTCCACGGTTATTACCGTAACTCAGAGAATGCCATATAATCGGTATTCTCTATCGATATAAAATCTAAGGCCACACTTGTCTCCCATATTACCTATGGGAGGTCTTTAACCAATTCAGCCGATCGCTAGTCTGACCCCGTTACAGAAGCTGCGGACAAGAAACGCAACCTAAAGTGAGATGCAACGAATTGTACAAGCTGTAAGATGGGTCACTTTATAAGCACGCAGTCACAGACGCACAGCAAGTGTCGCAGTGCGTTGGTCGGTAGCACAATATGTGACTTCTTCGAGGTTTCAATCTCCCTACCCAACAAACCAGCAATCGTGCTGCTAGGTCCACAGAAGAATCAAAACAATGTCCAACAGAGACGAGCTTGTAAAACACTACATTTCACCGCAAGGATTAATAGTATAGAGTCGGAAGCTACAATGTCATTCGCGTGGAGCAAGTTGACTTGGAACTTACGCCCCTACCTTTTTGATCGACGTCACATTCAGCCAGTTCTCCCTCGGCAGCACCAAGATGCGTACGTCGTAGACCGAGGGCGACGTGCATTTCCCCTCACGACAGTAGCCCAAATCAATGTCCTGGTCCACGGGGCAGCCCTCCACTTGGTACGTGCGGTTCCTTCCAGCCAGAAACTCCAACGATATCGTCAGATATTCACTAAAGCAGATCCGTGTGGTCACGTCCGCATTGTACGAGCTCGGGTGGCATGCAGTCGTTGTCAGGAACGCGACTTCGTCTATGGTCATTGGTCGCGGATTGTAGTAGGCAGGGTCGATCGTTCCAGTAACCTGAGGCTGCCCCATGGAATCCTCAAGATCGTCAAATGCAGCAATCGAGGAAGATAGAGCCAGTCCAGTGAGTAGAGCAACCGAGCGGATGTACGTCATGTCAATGGAGGAGGTCGGATTGTGGACGGATAGAATCACGACTGCAGAACTTGAGTTGGAGTGTGGTCTCAGACGCGAAAGTTGAGAAGTGTCTGTAGCCTCACGTCTAGCAGGAGAGGGGGGCGCCCATCCTTTTTGCGGCATCACGAACGACACGGAATGCGGGAATCGGAAAGAACAGAACATCTGCGAAATGTTGAGCGAAATATTCGGCCGCTGTTCGATTGTTACCAGAATTGGGTCGCTTCGTACCAATGGCTCTCCGGCTGCATGCTCCGGTTGCAACGCCTTCGTTATCACGACAAGAGCGCTCTGAGCGTGCCTTGTACGATCTCGGTGGGTGAAGCTTCGGCCTGTGGGTTACGGTAAAGCTTTGGCTGGTGGGTCATCAGTCGAAAATGTCTCCCTTTTTCGTCGTGTGTACGCCAGAAATCGTCATTCGCAACACAGCCGTACCGAGCTGCCACATTGTGGACGCGCCACCCCGTCGTACGATCGACTGTAGGTGTCACAGCGGATAGCACACGCTTGCGCATTTGTGACAAACTCTCCTCTTTCACCAGCTTTCTGCGACCGGAGAGGATACTAACGGACGGTCCAGGATGATTGAACTGACGCTAGTCGAAACACATTCATTGCGTGGGCGCAGAGCAAGCTTTCTCCACTCGCTGCAGTAGCCAGTGCGACCAAGACAGGTTCTGTCTCTCTGTCACAACACACTTTTTGCTTCAGTGCAAGGCGTGGCAGTTGATCGTACTAATGTGGGACGAAAGCAAAGAAAGCCCGATCCTGCACTCCGATTCCATGAGGTGTACCCGATGCCATGACTTTAAGTGCAGCACAGAGTCAGCTGGTACGCACAGTCTGTCGCATGAATCCATCAGCATCGAGACTCCTGTAGGTCCAATCGTGCGCTCGTAAGCTTCCAATTGTCACTGTGATTACGGCATCAGCTATTTCGTGGACTCTGGTCATCAGCTGCAATGCACTGATGCTGGTTCAAGCTGCAATCAACAACAAAACGAAGGCGGGCGCTGAACTGCCACAGTCCATGTCACAATCTCTGTCACAATTTGTGTCACAATCCAAGATGCTACTATCTGCTGAGTGCAACTTCAGCCACAAAAAGGTATGCGAAAAGCGACATCAGGCACGGAAGGGATTGTAACGATTCAACACTATTCCTGGTGCCTCTATTCCGGATATTAAGGTGCCGTCCTATCCAGTCGACAACGAAATCGTCATTTGCGCCCTGTATGGATTCGACATGCCACGTACGTCCTTCTTTGCAAACGACTTTCCATGGACAATGCACGGCGTAAGGGATCACTGCACCCACCGTTGCGAAGGACATCGCTGCAAAGCATGCAACATGGATTCGTGACTACTGTAGTGGAACTCCTGTCCAGCGTGCGATCTCCTACAAACCTCTTCAGGACAAATGCCGCAAGGTCATGTTACAACGTCGTTTAGTATGCACCGTGGGGATCGTTGTCTGTCGGTCTAGTCTTCTCTTTGAAGCTTACCAAGCGGCAGTGCATCGTCGCTGCCACTTCCCATCGACGCTTGTATTGGAAACAAGCTACACCCGAATAATGACAGCACACGGCCTACAAGTCAGTGTGCTTCCCAGTTCGACCCATCGCGATGCCGTTGATGACGCGTGGACACTTACATTGTACATAGCAAAGCAATCAGTACGACGGTTGTGAATTCGATGTCACGGCAAAAACGCACTCCCTACGCTTGGACGACGTCGGTGAGTGAAGCCTCAGCTCGTGGGTTGTTGATCACAGAGATCTGCCCTCCTCCGTCTGTTTACGCCAAAGTCGCCACTACAACACAGATGTATCGAGTTGCTATGATGTGTCCGATGCAATGGATCCTTGCATCGTCAACTGTCATTGCGATCAGTCATACTGAGACAAACGAACGGATGGCATATCATGCAACCGTCATTAGCGTGCGGTCTTCGGAACTGCTTGCAACGATTCCACGGTCTTCAACTACGTTCTACTATTCACTGCCAAGGACGACTGCACGGTCTACTAATCCGTTCGTTTCAAGCTCTGCAGTCGTGATCTAAACAGCCCAAGGCCACCCGACCTCCTCCACTGACATGACGTACATCCGCTCGTTTGCCCTTCTTGCTGGACTGGCTCTATCTTCGACGGATGCCCAAGGGCTACTACCAGAGCCTGACGCGATGGTGGGTAGCTACAGCGCGTCACGAGCTATGACCCTGAACGAGGTCGCGTTCCTGACGACGACTGCATGCCATCCAAGCCTGTACAATGCGGACGTGACCATCCGCATCTGCTTTACAGAATTTGGAAAGGTGGCGACGCAGGACATGCTTGGTACGAACTACAGGTACGAAGTGAAGGGCTGCTGTGTGGACGGGAACGAACTCTTGGGCTTCTGCCGCCCTGGCGTTTGCCACACGCCCTCGGACTACGAAGTCACCATCTACAACCAGGAGTCGCCGGCGATGGTGAATGTGTCGTCTATCAAGGAGATACAGCCTAAAAGCCAGTAAACTTGCTTCAAGCGCAACGACAACGTAGCTTTCAACTCTATACTTCTAACTGTTTCGTTAAAACAATAGTGGTTGACAAACTCGTCACTTTGAAAGTTGTTTTGATCTGTTGTGGACTAAGAAGACCCTTCGCTGATTTATTGAAGGGCGGAGATAGGACCTTTGTTAAGGTCAATTGCCATGTTGTCCAGAGGATATACATCGTGTCGCATGTGAGTGGTTAGGTGTCTGCGTGCAAAAGAAGCACCCACCATGCAGCTTGTAGTAATCGTTTCCATCTGGCTGAGGCTTGGCTGTATTTTCCCGCACTTTGCATCGATAGAGATGCACAATGAGTACTACATCGGCGCTTGCCAACTCCACCGAAACATAAGCGAAGGTCAAATATGATTGCGAACCCGAAGCGTAAAGCTATTAGTGACTGTGCGCAAGGTGAATACGGAGCTTTTTATTGTACTTATCTGTGTGTGTGTGTCTATCATAACGCGGTTAGGTGTACTTTTCACGCATTAAGTGCGATCTAGTTTGTGGCCTCTCATAGGTATGTTGGCACATACGAAGTCACTCTTTGGCTGGGTCAACATTGTGATGCACGCATGTGATTGATTTGTAATCGATCAAAAGGTGAATATGGTCATGAGCATATATGCGTATCCAAGGTCACCCTTTGGCTAGGTCACCATTGCAGCGCACGCTTGCCAATGGCTTAAGATCGATCAAAAGTGCATGTGGTCACAAAATCAATTGCTGGACGCTCATAAGCACAGGCTGATCACGTTGCTCGAGTACACTGTACTAGGTTACTACATACATTAACAGCATCGTACGCATTCTTCGGTGAGTGGTGTAGTATAATGTTTTGCCACTTGATTGAGATCTACGAACTGTATTACTTACATCTAAGGGCGAGCTCCAGAGCTTGCTCTCCTATCTTACTCACTAAAGTGCGCCAAGGCAGCGAAATAACTCGAGAAAAAGTTAATTATTCGAAATCCCGCCTACGTTAGTAGTTCTGTGACACCCAAGATACATTTTGGCTGTATATCATCGGCTCATGATCTTGAGATAATCAGGTCATTGGCGAAGATGAGTTGTAACGGGCACCCTTCGTTTGGAGTGCTACGTACTTCACGTACGCTAGTACGTGCACAGGAAGCTAATTTACTCAAACAGCTAGATGGAGTAAAAGGTAAAAAGAGAACTGCATTTAATATGGTTAAGCTATTAAAATTGTAACAGGGTGAATCGTTACATAACAATTTATAAGAAATTGTTAATAGAATATAACTATAAGAGTTATATTCTCAGAATATTGTCCTAAATATAAATATTCTGTAGCACTTACGAGTAGTTCCTAATTGGTTGATATAGGCCATTATATCAACCAACGAAGACGCGCCACGACAGACGCACGCAATGAGTGGTGAGCAGATAGTTGATTTACACATTTGTATTTAGACATAGTTAGGTGAAGATAAATAGTGATTTATTGCAGACATTAACTATTATAAATACAGTTCTACTTTTTTCTTTAACCAAGTACTCGCTTCTCCTTACCGTCTCCTCTGCACGTACGAGTGTACGTGAAGTTACGCGGCACCGCCTCATTCTGTCACCAGAATAAGTAGCTTGTACTGTCACCAGTACAAGCTTCAGGGTGCCCCGTTACACCTGGTAGCACTTCGTAGTCCGTCCAAGGACCACGTTCACATCTAACATGAATATGTTGGATGATGAAGATGACCAAAGCTTTCACACTACGCGTGACGGCTACTCCCATTTGAGCGATTTCGAATGGGATGCGGTTGAACGAATGGGTTCGACCATGGGCATCCATGCTGTTAGCGTCATGCTAGAGGCTCTCAATAGAGATGCCCAACATGCTACTATCGCCAATTTCATTCAAAATGAACTTGACGCTGAACGCGAGAAAGTAGCCTTGCTTCACCAACAAGGTTCTCAACAAGCAGAGTTGTTGAGAGAACAGGGTGCTCAACAGTTTGAACTGTTGAGACAGCAGCAGGCTGCTGCTGGTGGGTCGATGCACTCGCGTCGACCCGAGACTTTGAAGATTGACATCTCTAAGTATAGGGGAGTCGAAGAGGACTCCCTCTTGAGATGGTTTGTCGAATTGGATGACGCCATAAGGGCGCGTCGCATCGACGACGGGGATATGCAAGTTGCATCTGCCCAGTCAAATCTGGCAGGACGTGCCAAGACTTGGGCACTGGGGCTCAAGTTGCACGACCCATATGCGTTTGGGTCGTTGGAAGTCTTCAAGTCGCGGCTCAGACAAACGTTTGAACCGCCTAGAGCCGCGTTTAGAGCTCGAACCGAACTCTTGAAGCTCAAACAAGGTAAGCGTGGTGTGCACGCTTACGCGCAACATATACGACATCTTACGAGTTGTATAAGTTCCAATCCGGTGGATCAACACACGTTGGTTTCGGTGTTCATGCAGGGTCTTGCGGATGGTCCCGTCAAGACTCACCTGTTCCAACTTGAACTAGATTCACTAGAACAAGCCATTTCCATTGCGGAACAGGAAGACTTCAGTCTGAGACAGGCTCGCGCCAGCTCGACATCATATCTTCAACCGAGACGATATGACAGCGGAGGTCCAGAGCCGATGGAACTCTGTTATGTAGAGAGCGAGAAGGCTCGCTCTACAGACTACAAGAAGTTCCAGAAATGCAACAGATGTTAGAAGACAGGGCACTACGCTTACGAGTGTAGTGCCCCTCGTCCAGTGTCTCGCAACACTGGGCGTAGTGACCGTCCACCCATGAGAAACGGGCAGGGACGTGGGTCCGCAGTTGGTGCACAGACGCAACAACGGGATGGACCGTCAAAAAACGGACAGGATCAGTAGGTGCGGAGCACCCTACTGGTCCAGCAACGTCAAGAGAATTTGTGGGCCTCTTGATGAAGGTTGCTCCCAACACACAAACGTTGTGCGTTGCTGCTCTAGGTAATGAGATCTCACTCATTACCTTGAAACTCGAAGTGACAAATAAGTTGTCCCTTCGAGCTCTAGTCGATTGTGGGGCGTCCAACAATTTTGTGCGACGCCAATCGCTGGAAGATGGTCACTTCAAGTTCAGTGAATGTGACACACCTCCGTCGATGATGACAGTACGTCTTGCGACAGGCGCATCCGTAACCGTCATGAAGCGTATAGTGAAGATCCACTATGCGCTAGAAGATACCCAATATGACGATGACTTAATCGTATTGGATTTGGATGACAAATTTGATGTCATCCTTGGAATACCGTGGCTCAGAAGGTACGAACCACGGGTTAACTGGCAACATCGAACAGTAACGATGCCTGCCGCTTGTTCATCAGATGGCCATCTGATGAACGTTTTGGAGCGTCCACAAGCGTGTGGATGTACTACGAGTGAGTGCGATGGCCTCACTTGTGGTACGGTCGTTAGTACGACTGCACAAAACCTTAGTGTACCAAACGGTTACACTTCGGAGCAAAGTTCCGGCGGCTGTGAGGAAACACAGTCTGCGCCGAAGGTCCACCACTCGAATAAGTCGGGTGGACTGGGACAAAGATGTATCCCTAGCGGGGAACATCTAGAAGAGAAACAATCGATCGCTCAGGTTAAGCGAAACGATAATCCTAGATCGACTGGAGAGTCTTTCGTAGAGGATCTCGCTGTGGTTGCGCAACCACAGCTAGAGGAAGTTAAGGGAATAAGTCCCGATATTACAGATACGGCGGAAATAAGTTCCCCGAAACCCGCGGGAATAAGTCCCCGGGAAGCCGAAGGAATAAGTACTTCGAGGCCTGAGGGAATAAGTCCCCAGGAAATGACAGAGACATTGAATGTCATAGTCAATAACGGATCAAGTGCAGGCGCTTATACACTTGATCTGATTGCGCCTCCGAAGTTAACTTCGGAGATCACTCAGTTGCCAACGCTCGAACATAAAAGGTTCTTGCGTGATCTGCGTAGTGGCAAAGTCAAGCAGATCTGCGTACTCGTCGCTGACGACGAGTGTGTAGCCGACATAAGGTCAGCAACAGTGTTTACTGAGAACGAAAGAGTTCTCGGTAGTTCATCTATGGACGAGAATGTCCTAGATGAAAAGACACGAATTGAGCGATATGACTCCCAATCGTGGGAATCGCTCAAGAAAAATCCTCTCTATGAAGATTTGGTTGAATTCAAGGATGTATTCCCTGAAACTGTTCCGTGCGAATTACCGAAGGATAAAGGTATTCGACACGAGGTCGAGCTTAAACCAGGCTCGAAGTACTGTGTCATGAAGCAGTGGCCACTGCCTCGTGAACAAGTACTTGCGATCGACAAGTTCTTTGCCGATCGTTTAGCTGCGGGCCATGTGAGGGAATCAACTTCCCCACATAGCTCTCCGACCTTCTGTGTGCGAAAAGCAACAGGAGGGTGGCGGATAGTGCACGCGTTCAACAAATTGAACGCTGCAACGGTACCGGCTCAGACGCCGATACCGAGGAAGGACGTAATCATTGATGGTATGTCAAAGAGTACCATCTTTTCGTCCATGGATTTGATGGATGGCTTCTATCAAATCCTTATGCGGGAACGGGATATACCCTATACCGCAGTTAGCACGCCTAGCTGCAAGCTCTGGGAATGGCTAGTAATGCCACAAGG